ACTCCTACTGCTGTTCTGTTGTGCTGTGCAACATTTTGCTACATAGACTATTTTATAGAAGAAAGCTAGAAAAATATTTATTATTAATATTAAAGCAATAGTGCATTGAAGAAATGAAAAGACGTTAGAAATTGTGTAAATGCTTAGATTCACTTTTGGTGGATTTTTTGTACTTTATTTATAACTAATAAAACAAACTGCATTGCTAACTATAAACCTGTGCCACACAGAAGTCACCTGGCAGGGCGATTGCTTGGTCTTTATTTACTGGTCATTTCTTGTTTCTTTGGGTTAGAGTCAATTCTTCTTTCACTGCTTATGCCTTTGGACTTTGATGTGCAAAAGAGACACTGCTGGGGTATAAAATACTCTGCCCAGCTGCTTTGCAGATGCTGTTGGTGCTTGAGCTCCATGGCAGAGGTGAGGTGAGGCTCTCCACACTGGGCACACCACCATGCGCGATGTCCTGTGGCACCAGTTTTGTGATTAGGTACCAAAATCTCTTTGTAGAACCAGGCTGGAAATTGCCTGTTAAAAGAAATTTCTCCCCTAAGCACATCCCACGGTGCCTGCAGGACATATCTAGCAAGTCCTGCAGACATACTGAGAGGTCCTCCATCCTCCCAGCGGAGAAGCATCTCCCTTCCTGTGGGTCTCCTGTTTAATAACTAAGGAAAGACAAACTCACTGGAAGAAAAAAAAAATCCTCCAAACTAATACAGTTGTACTTGAGGCTATTTTCTATCTTTTTGTTACCTGTTGGAGAATCCAATGGGCCATAGATCCGAATTTGCATCCTGCACAGCTCATTTCATAGGTCCTCTTGCACTTTTATTTTTCCCCACAATGAATGGTGCCAGTCTCTGCTCTTATCCACTCTTGACTCAGCTGTTTTTCTTCATGCATTTCATGTAGAAAGGCTGAGACCAATCCCCACCTTTGGCCATGTGATTAGACTAAATAAGCCTTGGAGACAGGCAGCTGCTGTTCGTAGAGATTCAGTTCCCATAGCTGAGGGGAATTGCTAGCTCCTCCAGCATCCAGCAAAAGCTGCATAAGGGATGCACTATGTTCAGGCAATATGAAGCTCCCATTATAGGAAGCTTTTACAAATTCAGAAAGCAGAAAACAGGTTAAAAATGACCTGCTGGTCCAGCTGGGGAATATCTCAGTTGCTTGCTAAGATCTTGCTGATGTCCTTCGAAAGGGTAACAGCGCTGAGAGAGTTGTTTGAGATGGCAATCGGTTTCGCTCCAAAGCTGCCGCAGCAAACACACCGCTGCGATCTGATAACAGCCCTGTGAGCGCGGCGAGCAGTAACCGGTGGCTGCGCTGGGGAGGGAGAAGGGTTGTGCCCATTAAGGTATATAACAGCACGAGCCAAGATGCAACGTCTTTACTCACTGTGAGCATCTGCTTTCGCAGCAGCTGCACGGGGTAGGGAAGCTTAGCTTTTATTTGTATTTTGTAGTATTTAAATCCTCATCTGGCCCACAGGTTGCAGCTCAGAGCTGTACAACCTCATCGGTAAATATAAAATTTTTGTTGTTTGTTTTTTTTTTTTTTAATGAGGCTTTTTTCTATATCAAAATGGGCCTCTACACATAACAATGGAGCCTCAGAGATTATAAAATGGATACTTCATAGTCCTCAGTTATTCTGCCTTTATGCACGTAAGATTGGTGTAGGTATATGATGCTATTAAAAATGTTTCACTACAATTTCATATTTTCATATATAATTCTCTGCGTCCTGCAGCAAGAGACAACCAGTCCCTCTTAGCATCCAGCACTGCAAAGGACTCCTTGGTTACACTTGTTCTCACTGGTAACACCCAAGTTCTTTCATAAACACAGTCTTTCATTTGGCTCCTAAAATGATGAGGACCACAGAGACGATGGGACAGCCTGGTTTTGAAGAGTCCTGCTGGGTGTCACCACCCTTGTCCTTTGCTCTTGTTTCTCACCTATCTGAATGGTTTTGGCTGAAGGCATGTGCACTAAACCCACACCAATTAAGAAATAAAGAGCAAAAAAACCCTCCAAACAACCAGGTAAGGAGTGGCAAGGGATGCAAGAGCTGTGCACCTGCCCAACAGCTTCGGGGAGCTCTGTCCCAGCAGGCAGAGATTGCCTGAGCCCTGAAAAAGGCACAGCCCTAGGATAATTTTGGCTTTTCTCCTCCTCACTTCTCTACTTGGCCAAGAGCATGTTGGTTTTAGCAGCTTAATGCAAATCCAGCCCTTGGAAAAACTTCATTCTTGCCTTATTACTTTAGTAGCATTTGTTGTTGTAGCAACAGAACGACTGCCCAGAGCCAGGGTGGAGCTGAGTTTTGTACTTGTTTTTGCATTTTGGGGGCATTTTTGAAGTCTTTGAAGAAAAAAATCAGTGTTTTTTCATGCTTAGCCAAGGTTGCCTTCCTGGGAGGCAGTGAGGTCGCTGATCTCAGCAAACTCCCCCTCAGCCCTTTTTAGGGCTGCATTGCCTGGAGGTAAGGACAGCTTTTGTGTTGAACATGCCCGTCCAGGGATGGCAGGTGGTTTTGATGGCATCCCAGGTATCTGCAATCCCATCTGTCACCTACGCAATGGTTTGGTGACCCCGCAGATGCTCATTCCAGCTTCAACAGGACCTCAATCCATGGCTGTAACTACTTGCTACATGTGATTACTCCCAGATATAAGAACATCTCATATGCAAGCTAAGGATTTCTCTTTCCTCCTTGTCCCACGCAGGGATGTTGTGTGGATCAGGAGCTGTCCCCACGGCTCCCAAGGGCTGGAAGCAGTACAACTCCTATGTGTGTCATGGTGAATTTTCTCAGGGGCTTGCAGGGGTTACACTGCTGCAAAACCAGCAACTCTCTCAGCGCTGTTACCCACCAAGTGGGTGCTGACTGGAGCCAAATGGAAATGCTAGGATTACAGCATTTTAGTGGGAAAAAATCCTATTTCACTGCAGCACACATTTTCCTAAAAATGGGACAAATCTATTGACAAGGAGTTTTTTTCACAGGCCTGGTAGACTGGGGTGGAAGATAAAGCAGAGACATCAAAAGCCTGACCCTTTTTTTTTTGTTTCAAAACACCCGCTGGGGAACCGCTGCTTTGCAACGACACTGCACAAGCACAGCAAAAGCAAATGCTCCAGACTCTGCTCATGGGACCCCCATTTGCTGTCTGGGGATCCCGAGCCCCATCCCAGCAGGGTCCCAGGGATGCAACACCCCAGCAACTCCTTCAGCCCTCCTGAGATCTGTTCTGCTCCTCCCGTGAGCTCCCAGCCCCCGGGCTCGGTCCTTGCTCAGATCTTGGTAGCACCAGTCTGCAGTGAGGAAGGAGAATGCAGCCAGTAAGGGCTGCTATTATTATTCTCATCAGCGAGTAGCTGATCATTGATGAGGTTGATTACTGGGCTTATTTAAGCAACTTGCTCTGCTCCAAAACCATCAGTTACCATAAAAGTTTCTAAAATGAATTAGTCTGAGCTATTATTTGCAAGCTGGCACAGACGGCCCTGAATAAACTCAAGTCTCTTCAGTGGTGCCTGCTGCAGAAAATAAAGATGCAGTACTTCCCTGGTGGGACCTTGGTGGGATGCAGCAGTTTTCAAATATACAGGAGCAATTGACAGCTCCCACAATATGACCTTAACTCTTGTCTCAGCATCTCCAGACTTTGCTGGGGCCTCGTTTGCCCATGACCAGGCAGGGATTCAGCAGTGGGACAGTCCTGCCTTGTGACCAGGCACATCCTGGTGATGATCCAGCAGAAGCATCGACCTCAACCCAGGGACTGATAGGGTGGGTGAGCTCAGCGGGTTTAACCAGCTCTTGACCCATCTGATCCCCATTTGCACAAAGGGCTTGATTAAAACCAGCTTCTGGGGGGGCGGACGGGACACACGGGTGGGCCAGGAGAAGGGTCTTCTTCTCTAGGTGGCTCAGACACCCCCCTTTCTCCTCCAAAGGATGTGTTCTGCTTCTTTGCTCCGTGGGGAGGGAGACGGGGTCCAGCAGTAATGATTTGTGAACAGCTGTTCTTGTTGGTACCTGTAGAGATGCGAGTAGCTGGGAAGAGCTCCTCTCCCGGAGCACTGGCCCTTGCTGCAGCCGGGAAATCTCTACTCCACCGCAGACAAAATCCAAACAGCAATCCTCATTAAAAGAAAAAAATTAAAATGAATGGGAGTTGCTCTGAAACAGAGTTGGTATTCAGGCCATATAAGGTAAGATGATCATGAGACAGCTTTGAATATACTTAGCACAGCATCCTTGCAGTGGAATTAGCTATTTGTTTGGTTTTTTGTTCTGGCTGTCATAGCTGTAGATCTCAACTTTGGGCAGACCTGGACAAATCCAGCCCAAGAGCTGGGTTTGGCTTGGGAAAGCAAAGCCCACAGGTGGAAAACACCTCCCAGATCCCACCATGTGAGACCTGGCTGGGTAGATGAAGAGTCCTTCCCAATCTCCCTGCAGAAAACCCTGCTGTACCCACTGCTTTCCAAGCGGTGCCTTCTGGAGGTGTGCATGTGTGTGTACAGACACGCAGTGTTCAGAGTCACCAGGAGTGGAAAACCCTGGGATCTCCAAGCTCAATTTTCTTAAATATATTGGCTCAATTCCGTTACCCTCTGTACTCATCTAAAAGGGGAGCCCATCCGCGATGGAGGCAGTGGGCTTTCCCAGCCCTGGCAAGGCAAAGCACTGAAAGCAGAAGATGGCATCTGAGCTGTTAGAGGATAGTTTATGGCTCTGCTAGCTGTGTCTTTTAATCATAAATAAGCGAGAAATGTATTTATTTCATTCACAATTTTATATGCGCCTTAAAAAAAGCAGTATTACTTTTACAAAATGTTAACCCAGGAAGAACATCTTGCTACTAAAAATCTCTCAATATAAAAGGCAGTGTTTTAAAAAGTAAAATGCAATATAAAACAGTATAATGAGAAAAATGCTTGTGCAGAAGGAACCAAAACCCTCCTGCAGCCCTGCCCTTTTCAGTATCTGGGAAAAAGCTCTCTCCAGATTAACCCATCACCCCGGTTTTCATCCAGCCACTTCCCACAGGGAAATATGGTGGTCACGCCAGTCGCCGAGTTGGTGATCTCCACCCGCTCCACCAGCCAACCGGGCGCCAGACCGCTGTTGTCGTGCTCAATCCGGACTTTTTTTAGCTCTCCCATGTCCAATGTTTCCAGGTAAAACCTGTTGGTTTTGCCGCGCTCAAAGAGGTTCCTGAACTTCTGCTTCAGCGCCCGCTTTCCCGAGTCCCCGTTCAACCCGAAGATGGTGATGAACACGTTGGCGTCGGTCCCTGCACCCTTTTCAAAGCCTGTGACCACGATGGTCTCATATTTGACTGGCACCAAGCTCCGGGCTTTGCTGGCAAAGCTCTCGGTGACCTTGGCACACTCGAAGACTTTGTAGTCCCGTCTCTTATAACGCAGAGGGATTTTCACATTGCACCTGAAAAAGTATCTGCCAAAGGAAAATGAGCAGCGTGTTAACGGTATGGATGACCACTTTATTGGGCAAATGCTATGGACTGGGCATGCTACTAAATCGCCCAATATCACTTTTCCATACATGTGCTAGCACTGGAGTTTCTCTCTAGAAAGACAGCTGTGATTGAACAGTGCAATTGCAACTGGAAAACCCAACATCGCCCTGGACAGCCACGGTCACCCTGCATGTGGCGGGGCTGGTGCGGGGCACTTGTCACCTCTTTTGCCTGTGCAATGGCACGTGAACTTACAGACCCACTGAGGCAGGGCGAGGAATCAGCACCGCAGCTAACGCAGCCCAGTGCGGCTGAGTATAACTGGTCTGAGAGCGGAGGATCAGCAATTATCTTCACTGATGGGATGGTTAAAGTTGTGCTAGGGACTAGGAAAAAGGGAACGTAAAAGATGGGAGAAGAAGGAGGTGTAAATCTCCCCTTTTCCTCATCTAGATCATCCTTAGATTTCCTTCCCAAATAATACAACCTAGTGCTTAGCAGGAAAAAAAAAAAAAAAAAAAAAAGCATCGAGCATGGAAATGATAGGTACCAGATGCTGAAAGCCCTTGGTTCTGCAGTGCTGCCTCTGGTGATGTGCAGGGAGCACACAGCACATCCATAAATTACTGCATACCTGGCAGCCGGCCAGAGGCTGGAGCACTCTGCTTTTAATGATGTATTTCATTTCCAATGATGCAGATCATTTCCAAATGAGGGTGTTGTTTTTTTTTCCCCCCCTCCTCCCCCTTCACCAAACTGCAGCAGGTCTTCCTGGAGGGAGTGTAGCTGGATTGCAGTGTGTGTGTATAAAATAAACACCTGGAGGAAGGGTTACTCCAATTGCAGCAGTACTGTGGTTCTTAAGCACTTCCAACACTTTTGACATTTTCCGCAGCCAAAGTAAAGCACTCTTTTCTCTGGAAATAAGCTTTGTAAATGGGAAATTCTGGTGGGAGCAAAACTTTAGGCTCAGAGACAGAAAATTTGCGTGTTAGTGGGGTGGAGGGGTTGCCTGATGCTGCAGTTTTTATTCCTGGGCTACGAAATATATCATGGTCTGGAGTTATGATAAAGCATGCCAGTCTTCGTGAGGGGCAGGAAGAAAAAAAAAGATGACCTTTCTAGCCCTGGGGTTTGCAAGAAAAAGCTTCTACATACAGCCTTTTGCATACTAAGGTCTACTACTAAAAGGCAAAAATCCCAGTAAAATTCAAAAGCATTGCCGCAGCAATCTCATAACCCTTTTAATTTGGTCTTTGGCTTGACTGAGTAGGGGTTTTTTTGGATGTTTGGGATTGGGTAATACCTGAAGCAAGAACTTGCTCTCACAGTGAGATTTGCTCCAGCTGATTGTTTGCAGAGCAAACACCGCTGTGAAGCACTGCGTCTGCGGAGTCAGAGCCCTGCTTCAGTGCAACGATAGGCTGCAGGCTTTGCTGGTGTCTCCTGGCTGCCGTCTTTAATTTAATACAACTTAAAAAAACCCTAGGGCTTTATAAGAAGATCTTTGGCCCCTTCAAAACATACTGTTTCAGCAGTTTCAGCACACTCCCAGTGAGTTTAGTGCGTGGATTTGATTGCACAGCTGGACTTCAAGGATTCCAGGTTTTTCCCCACCAGGAGAAAAGAACATGTTTTAGTATGTAATTGACTGAGTTTTCATTCAGCAAATATGATTGTGGCTTTTCTGCTGGCTGATTAATTTGCTAGGAGAGACTCTTAGCTTCTAAAAAAAAAAAAACCACTTCAAGGATTTCTTCTTAAACACTCAATTGTCTCAGCTGGAACAAACTCCTTATAGTTACATTCTTTAGCAGCAATGGAAATATTACGGAGAAGAAAATAAATCCACAATTAATATCGTAGATATTTTCTCTGAAGAGGAGTTTGTTCTGCAAATGGACAATCTTCTCTGGCTCCTGCATAGTGCCTGTGCTATCTGCTCCTTGGATCGTGAATATCACCCCTTCCAAAGACAGGGCTCAGACTCAAGTCTGTGGGACCTGACATGCTCAAGGCTCTTCAGACATGGTCATTTTTCAACTATGGCAGATTTCAGTCATTTTCAAACAACAGTAGCTGAGCACTTCTGCTTCAGTACGTAACTGCAACCTTTCCAGTGGGCCTTTTGGACCATCTCAGAAGGATCTCGCATCCAAACTGGTCTGAATCAGAGGTTCAGGTTTTGTCTTACTCTCAACCTTTTTTCTAGGAGCTGTCTTTACAAGACTTATCTAAAGGCCAGTCTGTGCAGAGCATCCTAAGAGGCCCTTAAATTTCAGTCAGTAATTTCCACCAGCTTAGATGTCAATTTGTCATAGCTACAAGATTCACTCAAGCCAACTTGTTTATAAACTTATCTGCACGTGCAAATGCCCTCTCAACAACTCAGAAACCGCACAGGCAAGTCAGGCAGGGACGTTGTGTACCTGACACACCAAACAGCTTACCCTTAGCTTTCAGAAAGGGATTAAGATTCAGTAAGACAGTCCACTATTGCTTAAGTCTGAAATGCTTCAGGAGGACACATGTGGAGCTGCTCAGGACCCTGATGCCCTCCTAGAGCAGTTCCATGCACATAAGAAGGCACCTACTTGTTGCAAAGCTCCATCTCAGTTATGATAATCTCTTGGACATGCCAGAAGACATCGGCTTTTGCAGATGACTTCTTTCCATCTTTTGGGCAGTGACCAACACAGATGGCTGCAATATCACCAACGTTCTTTGAAGAAAATTGAAATGTGTCTGTTGCTCCCCTACAGGAAACAGGGAACAGTTTCAGTTAGTACCTGGAAGGCTGGCAGTGACTTGTCTTATATGGACATTAAGTAATTTGCACATGACTACAGAAGATAGAAGATAAGCCTTCATTTAAAGTCATTTGATTTAACCTACAATCATTCAACACAAAGCATAATTTCCATATGTAAATTTAGTATTTTCTCTGATTAGGGGTGACACTTTAAATTGTTGCCACTAGGACTTTCCAGGATAAACTTGAGCTGTTCCACATACAAAATCAATTTGCCTCATTATAGATAAAGCTAAAGAATGACTAATTTCCCCTCTGGCACTTATTCCTTCATTCTTGACAAATACTGTATCTGCTACATATCTACCCACCATAGCTGTTTTAAATTTGCTGGTTCAGCCGCCCTTCTTGAAGCTCAGCTTGAAAACAGTTTAGAGGAACAACAGGTTTCTGTCAAACCCTTGGCTGTCTCCCTGTAATGTCCCCTGTGTATCTGTTAGGTTTATCTCCTTGGACTGGTTCTTATTCCAGTCTGCCTCCAAGGATGGGCTGTGACTAATGCTTTGGAGAGTGATGTCTTTTAGTCCACTGTAGACACCATCAGCTGAAGGTCAGGAGGAAGCTCCTCCCAATATTTCATGTTTCACATGAAATCTACAGTCCACATCAGCTGTAATTTCACCTTCCTCACAGAGTCACAAGTAAAGCCTTTTCTCCTGCAAAGCAACTGAACATCAGCAGTGTCCATGGCTTTGAAGAGGCCATGTCTGCTAGGGGCATGCTGTGTCCTTAAGCAAAGCAGAAAACCCATCTCACATCTGGAGCGCTTTGGTCCCACATGGGAGAAGAAATCCGCCCCACGTTACATAGATGTGTCTCCAGCTCTGCTGATGAGGCTGATATTTGGCTTTCCTCACGCAACAGTGATCTTTCAGCTTTACCCCCCATATTCATCTGGAAAGTCAAGTCTGAGCAGCCTTGGCAACATGTAGCCTCCAACTATTTTTACTTTCTCTCTGATTCCACTGCCAGTGAGATGCTGCAAAAGGAACTAAAACCACCTCCAGCTTCCTTCTGCTCCTCCCAGCTCAAAAATACACAGCCTTCCCGGGGGCTCACCAGAAGCTCATTTTCATGTGTACTAATACAAAGGGACACACATGTACATGTGCATCGTCTACATTTCCTTTTACCAAATGCCTTTTTCTTATGATTTTTAAAACTGCTCTGTGTCCGCCAGTCAAAAACTAATTCTACATTGTCCTTTTACTCCAGGTGAGAAGCCATTAGGCCTTTTGGAAGGGGGATGAGAAAGAGCATGACACACATGCAACTCTGTAGACCATCCTGGAGAAGAGATGGCATTAGTGGAAGACACCCAGCCAGTGAGGAGTTCCACAAGCTGATGGACCCCACCATCCAGTACCACTACCTTTCAAATCTCCTTTTCTTGGAGGAGTTTTCCATAAGGAATTCTTTCGAGCGGCCCAGCTTTCCTTCTAAGATGATCCAGATGTTTTCCTTTGTTTCTGCATCCTCTCTGTCGCTTGTTACTGTGACAATCTCATAGGCTTTAAAGGATAATTAACACACACATTAAACAGAAAAAGGAGAGCAGATGGCCAGAAAGATCTCTTCATTTGGCTGTCACTTTGCTTAAAAACTCTCTTCCTAATATTTATCACAGCACACAAGAAAGCCTTTGCAAAATAAGGGTGGAACCACACTGAAATCTGTGGGACTTTTGACTTCTGCATGCTTTGGATTTCATGCAGGGATGGAGTGCATGACGAATATGAATACTGCTCGATCAGCAAGCAAGAGCAGACGAAGCTGCTCTTGATCAATCTGTGCCCAGCTCCCTGCTGTGCTAAGCACTCCCTGTTCAACACAGCCCAAATCCTACAAGTTTTGTGCCACTATCCCTAACAGGGACAGTGAGGGTATCCATGTACCCAACAGGATGCGCTCAGATGCCATGGTGGCATGTAAGTACCCAAAATGGCAATCACAAGGCTGTTTTTTTGCAGGGCAGAGTGAAATCACACAAAAGTAATGTGATTATTGACTCTCCAGGACTCTCCTGAAGAAGAGCATTGTGATGCGGGAGTTCTTGAGATGCACTTTGCGTATCATCAGTGAGGTTAAATCACTCTCAGTGAGGTTAAATAACTCTTGCTCGCTCACTCGCTCTCCATATTAGACACCAGTATAATTACCTTGGAATTACCAATAGCAATCCCAGGGCTAGGCGGTGTTAAGCTCAGCTGCCATGTTTGGCCAGAATACTTGAACTAGTAGTCCAGAACATGTTAAGGAGGAAGCTGGAGCAATGTTACTTGCAAAGCTTTAAGGTTTGAACTTATTTTCCACCTCAAAGACTCAAGACCATTATTTCTAATGAGACCATAACCATGTGTCCTTATGGCTTACTGCTGGATTGAACTGCTGCAGATGGGCTCCTCTTAAGTTTCAACCCAAAATGAGATCTTTTTCTTCTTCATAAATCCTGATTTGTTTCTTTCTCATCACAGCATTTCACTTCTGAACTAAAGAATACCTTAAGTAATTCAACCCTTAAAGCCTGCAAATACAAATGCCTATTGCATGGGAAACCTCAGGGGAGCAGCTTGCAGGAGATGTGGTCCTTTGGACTCTGAGGTCCCTCAGCAAATGCCACAAGTCAACTCTAAACTTACCGGTCCGTTCCTTCAGTTCCAGGATGTCGTTATTGGCACAAGCTAGTTCCCTTATGAGCTGCCCATCGTCTTCACCTTTAGCCAGCCAGCGATCACACTGGAAGCGAAATGTCTTGTCCATAGCGGAGTCATTCACATCAATATATTCCAAGTGCCAACCTGGTGCGATTCCTAGTAAAACAATAAAATAAAAATATTTGGATAGTTTGGGTAAGGAGGTGAGATACCTCTCCTTGGGAGCACCCTGCTGGTACTAGAAATGATATATATTTGCTTCAAATAATGTCACCAGTGAACATGACGTTGTTCTGATACCAAAAGCAATGACGACCTGCTCAAGACCATAATCTTATCCCCCTTATTGGAGTCGCTGGCTTTTGATCAGATTTAAGGGTGTTGGAGCATGGTCCCGGATAAGCTAGATTTCAAGCTCCCCATTCTTGTCCTAGCCCAGCACTTTGCATGAGGTGGGGCTTTTGCAACAGCAGTAGCAGAAGCAGCAAACAGGGGAAGCCGGGACCGGTGTGCCGCCTGTCAACACACCAACACAGGAACCATCCCAGGGATAAGCACTACTGCAGCTTAGGGACAATAAACCTTTACAAAGCCCCAGGGAAAGCGTGGTCCTGCAGAACTGTTTGCCAGAGCCAGAAGCATGAAATCTCCTGGAAATCAGAGGGTGCGAGGGCAAAAGTTAATGGAGCAGCTTCTGTCACAGACATGGCTGCTGATTCTTCCTTCCATTTTAAAGGAAACATGAAGCCCAAAAGCCAAAATAAAGATACGAGTTCCTGTTCCATCTAAGCCCCACCCTTCCACCACACGTGTCTGTAGTTATTAAAAAAGACACAGCAGTGTGCATGGTTTGTGGGGGTCCCTTCACATCTTGGGAGTGCTAATTGGCCACAAGCTGTAGGGTTTAGTGTCTTTCTCTATGGCCCTAAATTCTTCATTTTGGGGTTTGAAGGTCAGATGGTAGATTACAACTTTGACCCTACCAGCTAGCACACACAAGGAAATTTCCCATGCTATTCTGATCTTACCAAGCAACCAGGGTGAATTCACTAATGCTGTGAGTGGATATGAACGTAGGACAGACTAAAGTGATGGATGCTCCAGCAGGGACCACCAAATAACCTAACTTTTGCCTTGGGGTCCTTCTGAGGAATCATAGCTCCCTTTTAGTTTTGTACTTCCTCCCCCCCACCCCCCAGTGGAAAAACAACTTGAAAATGAAGAAAATGGCATTTGGGAACATTTTCATTATTTCTTTGCTGAAATAGAAGAAGCTTTTGTTGAGCGTGGGGGGATGGCAGGTTCTGACAGTTCTACTTACAAGTCCTGTTATTAGTCAGACAAAGAAAGGTTATGTTCTTGATGAGAGATCTCTGCTGACTTATTTACATCTGAGAGACATTAAACAGCTCTTGCTTTTCCAAGAACTCACTGCCATGTACCTACTTCTTTAGTTTGCAAATATTAATCTTCTTTAGCCCTGCAAATAAAATGATGGCACCTTTTTGAGTTATGTCAACAAGTCACCTTGTCCCCGTGGGCTGCGATCCCTCCACACCACCTGTTGGCAGTTCCCTACCAGCCTCACAGCCGTTCCTGTTTTGTACTTTGGATTCCTGAACCTTCTTCAAGCAAGGAATTCACCCGCTACAAAGCACAGACCTCAACCAAAGTCATCACTTGCCCCTTAAATTTAGTGAACACAGAACTGCAGAATCATTGTGGCTGGAAGGAGCCTCTGGAGAACGCTTAGTCCAACCCTCTGCTTAGAGCAAGGTCAGCTAAAGCAGGTTGTTCAGGGCTGTGTCTGGTCAGGTTTTGTGTTACCTCCAAGGATGGAGATTCCACAACCTCCCTGAGCAACCTGTTCCAGTGTTTGATTGCATGTGCAGAGAAAAAAGCTTTTTTCTTATGTTTAAATTGGAATTTCCTGTATTTCAATTTGTCCCCACTGCCTCTTGTCCTGTCACTGGGCACTGCTGAGAAGAGTCTGGCTCCATCATCTTTAGTCCCCCACCAGATATTTGTACACATTGATAAAATCCCCCTGAGCCTCATCTTCTCCAGGCTGAACAGTCCCAGCTCTCTCAGCCTGTCCTCACACCACAGACGCTCCAGTTCCTTAGTCTTCGTGGCCCTTCACTGGACAGTCTCCAGTATGTCCACATCTCTCTTGCACTAGGAGGACAGCGCCATGTGCCGATGACAAGACCTGTGCAAATACCCTGGGTGCAACAGGGGAGTTGGCTGCACCACCCAAACATGCATGCCCTCCTCCAGGCTCCAGCAGCAGAACAAGGGTATGAAGAGGTTTTGGGAGCGAGCTGGCATGCCATACCCTCACAGATCCTCCTCAGTCTACTGCCTCCTGGGCAGATCTTACCATGTTCCCCAGGGGTCCCACCATGCTCTAACCGGAGCAACTTGTTCTTTGGGGCTGTTTGGAAGTTTATTCTAAACATGCTGGCAATGTCAGCCGTTAATCTTTTTGTCGGGCTCATTTCCATTTAAGTTCAATGAATGTCTCTGCAGCATATTCAGGAGGCTGCTCCACTTCCATCAAAACTTTAGTTAAAACAGTACAGGATGAAAGAAGAAAACATCCCATCTTTCTCCAGCAAGAGAGATCAATGACTGCAGACCAGGATGGAATAAATTTGTGATGTTAGTCCTGTTGCCAGCAGTGAACTGCATGATTGGGGCAGGACCAGTGCTAAGCAGTGATATCAGGAGAGAGACTGAATGAGATGCACATACCCTCCTCCCTCTTGTCCAGCCTGGTCCCATCAACTGCTCACCAGGAGAGCTGCAACAAAACCCTGCTCTTTTATCTCAGGGAGAGATGGGCCAGAGCTGACTTTCCAGCACATGTTGGAGTTGAAGCACAAAGTGCAGCTTTTCCTAGTGTTTCCAGCAGAAGATGCATTTATCAGCTCTGGGCTGTTCAAAGAGCAAGCTCTGGGCTCTGTCAGGGGATCGACAAAGAAAAGCAAATATAACAGGGTGCCCCTTTACAGCACAAGGGTACCTCGAATCAAGGAGCTGGCTGGTCTTTCTTAGAAAAATGGTGCTACTGCCTCAATGCATCCTCCTGCCTGCTTTAAGGAAAAAATAGTTCTATTCCCTCTCACTAGAATTGATCTTTCCTGTTTCCTTTTTTTTCCCCTGATAATTAACAATTTAAATTAGACTGTGAGACCTGGAAGATGTGGAAGTATCCTATACTGCTTTTGATTTCTCAATATAAATGATTCACCCCAGGTGAATGCTATACTGGCTATGTGCGGAGCAGCACATCTTCCTGCCCTGTCCATGTCCTCCGGTGCCAGGAGTGGTGTCATATCAAGGCTTTCACTGCCATAGCATTAAACTCTGCTTAAAAGCTGATATGGAAAGGGAAGGATTGGTTTGGGGCTGAAGAAAGACAAAGTATTGGTTTTCTCTTGTTTCAGACTGGGAACAGATACATTTAATTTCTTTTTGATCTATTGATCTAGAAAAAGACACAAAGTCCAGTAATGCACAGTCTAAATGTGAGACTTTTCCTCCACTGAGCTGGGTCTGCATGCCAGGGGACACATCAGTGGAAGGAGAAGAAGCCATGTTTGCAGAATCATTTTTCAGGTCATTAAATCCTGGTTTCAGGGTATTACCCCGTTTCCACCTTCTGTTCCTGCGCGGCTTTTGCAGAGCAATGGGCTCAGAGGCATTACAGTGTCTCAGAAACAACAGGAAAGGAAAATGCATCAATGTCGTCCTGGAGATATCAAACCCTTAGCACAAGCAGGTTTATGGAGTGAGCATCAATGAAGGAATGAGAAGAGGAGCCAGAAAAGTGGTGTGGACGTAGCAGGGTGGAAGGACTTTCCTAGGTCCTGTCCACTGCTCACACAGCCTGGCCACGCAGGAGAAACTGGAGGATCTCTGCAGCAATGGCTCATCAGCCTTTTCCCTGGATACTGTTGGATGTTGGATCCTGATCCCCATGAAAGCCACAGCTGCTCCATCGCTTAACTTTCAGTGCTTGCAGAAGAGCCAGAGCAGATCTGTTTGTATCCCTTTGGCACCATGACTGACAGTACTAGGAGAACAAGGGCTCAGGAACAAATCAGCTGCACAAATGCCTTGGAGGGCATCATGGGCTTTTCTGCAGTGACCCCAGTACAAACCAAGACCACTTTGCTTTGAGGCAGAAAGGAAGAAATAGCACGTATCTGAGCAGTTCCTGCTTGATTATGCAGGTCTCGGTCTTTAAAATAGTTTGGCCACCACTGTGCCTTTGTGGAAGATCCCCTATCACCATAACAAGTGTTCAATGTTTGGAACAAAAGGTACTTCACTCCAGGCATATTTTGCTGCCATCAAAATCCCCAGCAGCAAACCCGCCCTAATAAAACCCGTGGCTGTGCCATGTAGGCTCCTTAATGGTCCGCAGCTGGAAGTGACATTTTCAATAGCGTGCAAAACATTTCAAATGTAATTAGAGGAGGAGAAGAGCTTTGGGGAAAACAGAATCACTTTGCTTGTTTGACTCTGGCAGTTGTATAATTTAGTGTCA